CTGAATTCACACCAACAGTACACATTTTAACCTCTTCCTATTTAAACACATCTGAATTAACTCATCAAAACATGATAGTTCAGATAAGGGAGACATCCAAAATATGTCCTGTCGCTGTGCCTCCAGGAACAGGGTCATAGTAACATGATTCTGTCAGGTGAATCTTTTTTTTCAAGCAAGAACTTGATTTAACCAACAAGAAACTACGCATTTTAAATATTGTATCTTTAACCTCATTTCCCAAGTGCTCAGTAGGTTGTTGCTGAGCAGGTTTGCCTAACGTGTGAGTCACTATTAAACAGCGGCATTTGATGACAGGTTTAGTAAGAGTTAATCCGTAATCATATAGAAATATTTTGAATAATCTTTGTGTTGTTTGTTCAACTCTTTTGGTTACGTGCACCACCCAGTGTATACGTGTAGTTTACAGTGGTAGCTGGGAAGATTTCATTTTTTTGAGCTCCAAATAAAAGTTAGATGAATGCGCAATGGGACACCTTTAAATATCTCTGGCATCCAGACAATTGCCTTGAGTTATAACCCATGTTAACACTTTGTATTCTTCATTGCTAGGAATATTTTATCACCTTATGAATCAGTGAAGCCAAGGTAGGCACTGTTGCTAGCTTTGTGGATAAACTACTGTAATAATGCAAATGAATTAAATGTGTTTACACAACCTGTAGGAAAATGATGGTTGCATAAATATGGTGGTGCTCATTAGGGATGCTCATTTCGGTTCATTTTGCCAGCTGACAACCGCCGCTTGTTAACTGGATATTAAAGGTTAAATAAAATATTAAACTATTTATTTTTAAAATAGCTGGTGTATTTTGTGTCAAAAGATCACAAGAAAATCAGCACACTGCCACTTTAGCTCTCAAAAAAATTTGTCAAAACATTTCGACCTACATGATCTTCATCAGGTTAAACAATCCAACTGGAGAACTCGAGAAAAAGTAGTAGAGCTCTACACATCACACCTGCAAACAATCACCCCAATCAGCCAACAAGCCATTAAACAAACATGCACACATACAACAGTATACAAATGACAATATGAGATGCAATCGTACCATTACAAAAACAATTTCAATAAAAATCCAAATGTAAACTTCCTCGGACACAAAGTATTCAGTGTATTAATATATTGAAAAAAAAAATCACATCAATCAACTATCAGGCCAGTAAACCAAGGAGAAAAAAAAAATACATACATACAAATATATATATATATAGATAGATTTTATATATATATATATATATATATATATATATATATATATATATATATATATATATATATATATATATATATAT